TCCCTCCTCCTTATCTCCTTTCTTCTCTTCTTCCTCCTCCCTCCTCCCTCCTCCTCCTCCCTCCTTGAGACTGCTTTCTCAGTTAAGAGTAACTACAGGAAGAAAAAAAAACATTTTCCTTGCAAATGAGAACATCTGGAACTCAGAAGTCCCATTGTGCAGGGGCTTAAAGGAGGTTCCAAAAATGTCAAGAGCCCATCTGTGTTGCCTGGAAAGAGACCCTACCTCTTTCAACCATAACAATACAAGAGCAAACAATAGATACAAACTCAAGGTTAACTGCACCAAACTTGATTGCAGGACATAACGACTTCAGCCACAAAGTGGTCAATGTCTGGCATACTCTACCTGACTCTGTGGGTTTTTTTCCCCAAACCCCAAAAACTTTAACCTTCGACTGTCTACTATTGACCTCACCCCTTTCCTAAGAGGTCTGTAGGGGGCATGGACAGGGGTGGGATTCAAATTTTTTAACAACCGGTTCTGTGGGCGTGGCTTAGTTGGTGGGCGTGGCTTGGTGGTCATGTGATTGGGTGGACATGGCTTGGTGGTCAGGTTATTGGCTGGGTGTGGCCAACTCAATATCACTCACATCGAGGCACGCATCTCCTCACCTGGCCTCTCATGACTGTGGGGATGCTGCAACAGTTGTAAGTGTGAAAAATGGTCATGTCACTTTTTTCAGTGCCACTGTAACTTTGAATGGTCATTCCACACAAGCAAAGTACCAGCAAAGGAGGGGGGAAAAACTCCAGAGAAGTTCCTGAGACAGGGAGTCTAGTCCTGCCAAGAATGTAATAAGGGTTAATGGAGAGGCAGTTTCTGTAAGCAACACCAGAATGTTTCCTTCCTGCCTTCCTTACAGGATTAGGCCATTATATTCTTCTAACAACCGGTTCTCTGAACTGGTTAGAATGTTAACAACCGGTTCTAGAGAATAGGTGCGAACTGGTAGAATCCCACCCCTGGGTGTACATAAGTGCACTAACGTGCCTACTGTCCCTGTCCTATTGATTCTTTTTATTTTTCTTATATGTATCGCTTTCATGTATTCATAACTATGTTTATACTTATGCCTGTTATCTTATAATTGCTTGACCAATAAAGGTCAGGCTTGCAGCCATCAGCTAATCTGGCAATCTCCTGGATTTAAGGGAGCACTCCTGAACTAATAGGATACACAGTCTAACATGCAACTGGCCCTTTGAAGGCAACCGTAAAGCTGATGAGACTCTCAATGAAATGAGGTGTGACACCTAAGACCTAATATTGCACTGAGAGCTGGATTTTGGAATAAAGTCAGTGGATCAGTTAGTTCTTTGTTTTCTACCTGGTTGGGCGTTCAGCCTCCTGTTGGCTTTCAACCAAGCAGAGATGCCATCCATCTTCACTTACCAGCTACCTGGGCAGTTTCACTGGAAGCCGGAAAATCCTCTTCGTAAGACTCATCATTGGAGTCGTCCCCCTCCACCGATGACCAGGCTCTGAGTTTGGCCTCAGCGATGGCAAATTGTTCGGCTACACCTGGGGAGAAAGGAGTGCTGTTATTTAGAGGTGGTGGAACACAAGGTGTAGGGAATCACTGCTGAAGAAGTGCCAACCCTGAGGGCCATCGCGAAAGTCAGAAATCCAAGCTTTGTACTTTACCAAACTGGAGTGGCAAGCTGGGGACAGATTAATCTAGTAGATTTCAGACCTTCAGCTGATTGATAAAGGTTGGAAAGTCACCTGGGAGAAAATGTTCCATGATATAGAACATATATAGAACTGTTCTGACCCAAACCCTTGTCCAATAAAACCAACACGAACCAAAAGGAACAGAAACCTTTTAATGATTCTTACGAATCCCCAGTTAAAAGGCTGCTGCAAACTAACTAACTTTGATAAGCACAAGTCTCGCCAAAACCGTGCGAGGCTGCCAAAAATGACAGGTGTGACCTAGAAATATTTTACAACACAAGAGCCTTCAAATACCAACCAAGATACTGCAATGTCCACGAGGCTGGAGTTTCAAAACGTCTTTGCTTCCTGCAAAGAACGTCTGATTCACAGCTGGCTTTTATCTTCTTGAAGGAGGGGCCATTACCTTGCAGCCTTACTCCCGAGTCGCCTGTGCTGCTGCAGCTGCTCTTTCCTGCAAGCAGCCCTGAGCGCACGCACATGTGACACAGGCTCCTTGGGAACCTACTCAGTGCTGCTGCCCACCCGCACAATCTCTGAAGGCAGCAGTCCGCTCCCTAATGGTCCTGGCCCCTCCTCTGAGTCCTTGCTCTCCTCAGCCGTCCGCACCTGCTGCCGGCTAACCACAACAAGAACATAAAATAATAGAGTTATAAAGGACCTTGGAGGTCTTCTAGTCCAACCCCTTGCTTGAGCAGGAGACCCTATATCATTCCAGACAAATGTGGGTTATCCAGTCTCTTCTTGAAAACTTCCAGTGTTGGAGCACCCACAACTTCTGAAGGGCAGCTGTTCTATTTGTTGATTGCTCTCACCATTAGGAAATTTCTCTTTAGTTCTAGGTTGCTTCTCTCCTTGGTTGGTTTCCATCCATTGTTTCTTGTCCTGCCTTCAGGTGCTTTGGGAAATAAGCTGACCCCCTCTCATCTTTGTAGGAGTCGCTCAAATATTGGAACACTGCTGTTATGTCAGCCCTATTCCTTCTTTTCACTAGACTAAACATACCCAATTCCGGTAACTATTCTTTTAACTTCCAGTCCCCTAATCATTCTTGTCACTCTTCTCTGCACTCTTTCCAGAGTCTCGACATCAGTGGTGACATTCAGCTGGTTCGCACTGGATTGGGCGAACCGGTAGCAAGGATTTGGCATGGGTTGCCGAACCGGTAGTAAGTTCTGGCTGGCCACGTCGCTGACCCAGTCACCTGGTCACTGCTAAATCTCTTGGGGCAACATAATGACTCCAAACTGATGACATGTTTAACCCCACCTTCCAGCTTGCTTTTCTCCTACACTTTTCTTTTTTGCTTTAACAGTTTTATTAGCTTATCATATAAAATACAAAAATACAAAAGCATATAGAAAAGAAGGGAAAAAAGAAAAAAGGGTGTAGACTTTCAACTCCCTCTGGTGCAATAAAATAAGGAATATATATTTGCAGTCATTTGTTTAGGAATGCAAAGGACACGGTGATCAGAAAGACATGCTTGTTCCAACGTTTAGGGCAGTGATGGTTAAGCTTTTGGGGCTCCTGTGCTCCTGTTACCCAGAAGGCAATGTGCGCCCCCCCCCACCCCCTGCACATGCATGTACAATCCCTACCACCACCCCCTTATGTGCACTGGGCCTCCCAGCTGATTTTCAGCCCGTTTGAGGCCTTTTTCAGCCTGCCGGAGGCTTGAGGGAAGCCTCTGCAGCCTTTGCAGGATGAAAAATAGGCCCATTTCATCACTTCCTATAAATACCGGAAATGACCAAACTGGCCTATTTTTCGGCCTGCAAAGGCTGCAGAGGCTTCCCCTCAAGCCTCTGGCAGGCTGACAAAGGCCTCAAAAGAGCCAAAAATCAGCCAGGAGGTGCACGCATACACAGTGAAGTAAGTTTGCCTGGGCTCACATGCCCGCACAAATGGCTCTGCATGCCACCTGTGGCACACATGCCATAGGTTTGCCATCATGGGTTTAGAGAAATTGGGCTGCAGAAAAAAAGCCATTTTGTGTGGGAAAGCTCTCCCAAGGAATAGGAATACTGGAGGAGACTTAATTATAATTATTATATAGTTATAATTTTATAATTATCATAAGAAAGGCCAATAAAGTGGCATATATATTTTTTTCTTAGCAGGGCTTATGTGCCTTTAACTGAAAGCTTCCTGCTTGGTGCCTTTCAATTGCATTGGTAACATAATTTGAATTCCTGCCAATGGCCAAGCTATCTGTGAACTTGTCAAGATGTATTATCATCCACTGTCAAGATGTATTATCTTTATTACATTTTTTTAAAAAAAATCTTTCTTAATTTTATTATCTATTTTGAGTGCTTCTTAGAACATAAATTTAATCGCCATAGATCAACTGCGGGCGACGTACAAGAATGACTAAATAAATTGAACTGGAATTGCTTTTGAGATGGCAATCGAAGCTGCCGTCTCCGAAACAGACTGCAATGCTACTAGGCGTTCGCTTTGTTCTGTTGGAAGTTAGAATTCTAGAAAAATGAAATATTTTAGGGTGTACTAAAAAAAAAGGCAGAATATTTCCCCTAAAAGAGAAGTAGAAACTCAGAGAGGCAGAAACTCAGCCTCCCCACACGCACACCTTTGCTAAAGGGCCATTTAAGGCCTGGGCCAGTCTATTCTACATAACAAAGATCTACCTCCTTCAGACCCATAATAGGAACCCCAAAGCCCTTTCATCATTCAGCAAGGCTCAACCAAGCTTGGGACTCAAAAGACAGCCTACAGAGTTGCTCTTGCATGGCCCCATGGGAGTCTGACAACCAATCAGAATACAAGCTCAAAATCAAATCCCAACACAGGTTATAAAATCCAGGCACTTTCAGCATCTCTGCCCTTTTTTTCTTCACCCAAGACATGTGGTCCTGCCCACTATTAAACCATCTTTCCAAGCAGTCACCATGTTTCCAGTCACCATGCTTCGATGTTTTCTTCCTCACTTGGAACTGAACCCAGAAGGATATTTCTTCCAACAGTTGTGGACACGCTAGTTAGAAAAACAGATTCCTCTTTTTTTCCCATCTCTTTTTATGAGCACCCCCTGTTTCCCTTCTGCACATAAGGTTTCCCTCACCCCTAAATTAAATCTTCTCATCTCCACCTCAGATTATTTATCCTTCTGAATAATATTGGGGGGCATTTAAAAGCCCCCCCCCCCCCCCAAAAAACCCTCCTTTTCAGGCAGTTTTCTTTCATAGCTTACTTTTATCTTTTTTGTTTTTCAAAGATTAGCTACCAACCAAGATGGCAAGTTCCAATCTGGGTCTGTCATCAAGACCACAGACATTTAGTCTTCCACACTTTTGGACTCAGGCTGGAGCCCAGACAAGGAGGTCCAAATTCATGGGTAGCCTCACATTGCAGTGAACAAGGACATGCATTCAATTTCGGCCCTACTAAGATTGTCGGACGAGCAGGGACAAATACAGCCAGGGAAATGATTGAAGCCTGGGAAACCAGCCACTTATCAGTCAATAGGAGTGCTGATTTACCGCCAGATTATCAGGTAGTCAGGAATCGAGGACTTGGCAGTGAAGGGGATAGTAATAAATAAAGAGTAGTAAAATATATTATAGCATTAAGTAGAGAGTTACTCTATAGGCATTTGTTATCTTGCTGTTGTAAAAAAGATTTCCTTAAACTTGCACTTGTTGTAAAACAGTTATAAACACCTGCCTGCAATCAGTTACATTCCTCTCCCATTAAGACACATGACTGTCCTATCTAAATCAATCTGAATCCATCTGTTTTCCTGGATAGATACATTTCACCCCAGCATCACCCCCTGAGAATGAAACTGTACCTCCATTCGGAGGAATCCACACCTTTGAAGAATGCTGTTAATAGCCTCCTTAAGTGGTCAATTGTGATCCATTAGATAGACAATAGGAGAAGAGATGATGAAAGGCAAACATTGCTGGAGAGACATTTGTCTTTTGCAGGAAAGATGGAAATCTAAGTTAGAGAATTTTACACTGCAGTTACTCGACTTCTAAGAATCTTAAAGGTATAAGAAGGACAGGGCATCTTTCTATGTTTTGTAGAATTTTCCTCCCATGTCTCTTGTGATGTGCTAGGAACTTCTCCCCAGATCTTTAAATTTGATCAAAGAATAAAAGTCTGCTTTCTTTGATTTGAAAGCCTCCGTTTAAGTCTTTGTTTTGGTTCATTATTGGCTTAAGCGTACTGCCAGACCTTACAGCAGCACAAGGAAACAACGGCCAATAACCGGCCATCAACACCCCAACCAACAACTAAAGAGCTACACACAACCAGGCACCACATAAATATTATGCATAGAATAGCCCAAAGCACACATTCTGGGAGAGAAAAATTCCTGGAGGATAGGTTTCAGCACAAGTCCAAAAACTTGGAAGATTAAACCCTTATCCTAATGACTGATCCACACTGGACCCTGCAACATGGAACACATATATTTGCTTTCATTTGCAAATGAATTGTTTAAACCAGGAGTCTCCAACCTTGACAACTTTAAGCCTGGTGGACTTCAACTTCCAGAATTCAACTCCCCAGCTTTGCTAGCTGGGGAATTCTGGGAGTTGAAGTCCTCTAGGCTTAAAGTTGCCAAGGTTGGAGACCCCTGGTTTAAACCATGGTTCCATTAAGTATGAGTACAATATTTATCTGGTCTTTTAGAGTTGCCAACAGAAAGGGAGGGGGAGAAGTGCAGCAGCTTGCAAAACCAAAACTGCATTCCATCAATGTTTCCATAGATAGTTTCTAGGTGACCGAAGTTTCTGCCGTGCAAAATTCTAACTGAAGAGTATGATTGCTGACTCTTGGCTATGGATGTGTCCCATTGGAGAATATGAATTATGATACACCCAGGGGGTGGGGGAAAACCAGGGTCAAGGGTGACTCATGATTTAAATAGGGGTAGCTACCGAAGCCCTGACAATGAGTTTATGTGTTATAATTGTTGGATCCACCTTCTCGATTTCCCAAAGTATTTGTTTCATGGTACAGAATAGCGGTGGGATCATCTGGTGTCCTCTTTTCCATCTAGTACTGATATGAACATAAAAGAGTTAAACCTAGAAGTCCCTTTGGAAATATCTGTGCTAATTACCTGCAGTATTGTTTCTGTAGAGGTGTACGTTTTTTTGACATGTATAAATATATAGAAAATATAAATTGCTGCCTGTTACACGTGTTCAGGCGTGGGATTCTACAGGTTCGCACTTATTCTCTAGAACCGGTTAACATTCTAAGCAGTTCAGAGAACTGGTTTTTAGAAGAAATTACCGGCCTAATCCTGTAAGGAAGGCAGGAAGGAAACATTCTGGTGTTGCTTACAGAAACTGCCTCTCCGTTAACCCTTATTATGTTCTTGGCAGGACTAGACTTCCTGTCTCAGGAATGTCTCTGGAGTTTTTTTCCCCTCCTTTGCTGGTACTTTGCTTGTGTGGAGTGACCATTCAAAGTTACAGTGGCACTGAAAAAAGTGACTTATGACCATTTTTCACACTTACGGCTGTTGCAGCATCCCCACAATCATGAGAGGCCAGGCGAGGAGATGTGTGCCTCGATGTGAGTGATATTGAGTTGGCCACGCCCAGCCAGTCACATGACCACCAAGCCATGCCCACCAACTACGCCACGCCCACAGAACCAGTTGTTAAAAAATTTGAATCCCACCCTTGCTCGTGTCCCAATAGAAACCACTAGGTAGGTGGTGTTTTTTGACACGACTAGCGGTAGACCAGATCTTCAATTCCTTGAGGGTTTCTCCCCCATCCCATCCTGGGCAGAAACCCGGGAGTCTGAGGCTTTCAATTGAACCTCATGAACGTGTCTGTTGATTTGACCTGTCATTAGGCAGCTGAGCCCGTCCTTAAATAGGGGTGCACCACAGGCAAGTAATTTGGAGCTCATGGCTGCCTGTGGGTGTCACTTTAGAAAGAGGGAGGGGAGGGAGGGACAGAGGGAGGAGACAGAGACAGAGATAGGGGGGGAGGGAGACACACACACACACAGAGAGAGACAGAGACAGAGAGAGGGAGGGAGGGAGAGAGAGAAAGAGAGAGAGAGGGAGGGAGGGAGGGAGAGAGGGAGGAAGGGAGAGAGAGAAAGAGAGAGAGAGGGAGGGAGGGAGGAAGGGAGGAAGGGAGAGAGAGAAAGAGAGAGAGAGGGAGGGAGGGAGAGAGGGAGGGAGGGAGGAAGGGAGAAAGAGACCCACAGAGAGAAAGAGACAGAGAGAGACAGAAACAGAGAGAATGAGGGAGGGAGGGAGAGAGAGAAAGAGAGAGAGAGGGAGGGAGGGGGGAAGGGAGGAAGGGAGAGAGAGAAAGAGAGAGAGAGTCAATGACAGCTTTCGGCTCCAGCCTTTATCAGTGGTTTCCGAACTGCCTAGCAACGTCAGGCTGAATCATACAACATGCCAAGCTGTGGAAGATGTTGAAGATGTTCCTGCTGCAATTCTAAATTTTAGTCACTCAAAAGGAAGATGACCCTGCATTTAAGCCTAACTGCTTCTCCAGGAAGGGAGGAAGAGGAAGGAAAGGAGGGAGGGAGGGAGGGAGAGAGGGAGGAAAGGAGAGAGGGAGGATGGAAAGGAAGGAAGGAAGTTGAAAGGAGGGAGGTGGGAAGGAGGGAAAGAAAGAAGATGGAAAGGAGGGAGGGAGGGAGGGAGATGAGGAAGGAAGGTAGGTTCAATCCCTGTCTCTCAACACAACTCACCTCATAGGATTGCTATTATGAGGAAAATATAAGGAGGAAGGTATGTTGGATATATTCCCCATCTTGAATTATTTATAAAAACAATAAAAAACACAGGAGAAATAAAATCAACCAACCAACCAGGCAAGGGCGTAAGAGCCTGAGAAAATACGTTCCGTTCTCCCACAACTTCTCCCAGAAAGGCAAAAGTTTTATCTTCTTCAAGCAAGAGGCCTCTAGGCCAGCCGGCGTGATAAGAGCTGGCATTTGAGGAATGTTAAGGATAGTTTTCTGGGCAAGTAATGGAGTAGGAGAGAGCTGGGGAGCATCCAGAGCCTCTTTGGAATAAGTTAAGTCAAAGATTGGAGGGTGTGTGTGTGTGTGTGTGTGTGTGTGTGTGTGTGTTGAAAAGTTAAAATAGAGGTGTTGAAAAGTTAAAATATTTGGGACCGTAACGCTCACGGAGATGCGTGTTGCTTGGGTCGAGGGTGTCGCGGTATTAAGCTGCCATGCTGTGGTTACAAAACATGGTTGTCAGATAAAGGGATGGTGCGACATGTCTGCTTTTCATCTTGGGTCTAAGCCAGGGGTCTCAAACTCGCAGACGGCTGGCTGGAAGCGTCACGTGCTGGCCCCGCCCAGTTTAGCAAAGGGGGGAAAAAGTCCCGATATGTCCTAAGCCTAATCCTTTAATTCCATACTTGCAGTTTCATTTTAATTTTAAAAAATAATAGTGGGAAAATTAAAAAGCTTCGAAACTGTATATTGAAAAGGTAAAATTTTGGATACCTTTCTATGCAAAAGCAATAAAAGGTTTTATTGCACTTGCACAACAGCTGGTTTTCAAAAGATGTGACTTTTATCAAGACGTTTTTAATAACATCTCTGTGCTCGAGGGTTAGGGTTAGGGTCTAAATCAAGATGAAGCCATCTTTGGAGGCCACCAATAATGGTGGTGTTAATGGAAGGGAACTGCAGCCTTTCAGTGCTTTGGAGACACAAGAGTTTGTTAAAAGCCACAATGAGGCCATGCACCACTCATGATATCACAGAACCGAGGCAGATGACCTCTTTCACTCCTTGTATGTGATGAGGTCCTCACCAGTGAACCATCTAACCCACCTTTAAAAAGCCATGTTCCTCTCAAACAGGGATCTCCAAACTTGGCAACATTAAGACTTGTGGACTTCAACTCCCAGAATTCCTCAACCAGGAAAGCTGGCCTATACCATTTCAGATATATGATTGTCCACTCTCTTCTTAATAGAGTCCAGTGTTGGAGCACCCACAACTTCTAGAGAAAATCGTTCCACTGGTTAATTGTTCTAACTGACAGGAAATTCCTCCTTAGTTCTAGGTTGCTTCTCTCCTTGATGAGTTTCCACCCATGGCTTCTTGTCCTGCCTTCAGGTGCTTTGGAGAATAGCTTGACTCCGTCTTCTCTGTGGCAGCCCCTCAGATATTGGAAAACTGTTATCATGTCTCCCCTAGTCCTTCTTTTCATTAGACTAGACATACCCAATTCCTGCAACTGTTTTTTATATGTTTTAGCCAGTGGTGAGATACATTTTTTTTTTCAACTACCAGTTCTGGGGGTGTGGCGTGACATGGCGTGGTGTGGCGGGCGTAGCAGGGGAAGGATAGTGCAAAATCCCATTCCCTCCCCATCCCACTAACCTGCTTTCCAGCTCTGTTCTCCCATGCAGGGAAACCAAAGAAGACCCAGCCAATCAGCTGGGACTCAGGAGGCAGAGAAGAGATGGGGGTGGGGCCAGTCAGAGGTGGGATTTGCCGATTCTCCGAACTACTCAAAATGTCCACTAGTGGTTCTCCAGAACTGGTCAGAACCTGCTGAATACCCACCTCTGGTTTTAGCCTCCAGTCCCCTTATCATCTTTGTGCTATACTGTAGCAACCAATATTGGGTTGACCCCCTTTCCTCACTGTGGTAGCCCCTCAAATATTGGAACACTGCTGTTCTGTCGCCGGTAAAGAGACTCGCAGACCGGAGTTGAATTCAGCTCTTTAATAATAACAGTAACTTCAACTGCAGTCGAACCGCAGCAGCCCCTTTTTATAGCGGCTGCTCCACGGCTCGCAATGACATTTAGTTAAACTTCCCACTGCTATAGGCGGCCAATCAGATACTAACGTTACTAACCAAACGTATCGTTGCTTCTGCTAACCAATAGGAACATCACCCTAGAAGTCTCTATTTCAATACACTACATCTGCTATCGCAGGGGTGGGCAACTATGGCCCTTTTATGAATTATGGACTTCAACTCCCAGAATTCCTGACCAAGCCATGCTAGCTCAGGAATTTTGGGAGTTGAAGTCCACAAGTCATAAAGGGGCCATAGTTGCCCACCTCTGTGCTATCGTGACCTCTTGTCCTTCTTTTCACTAGACTTGACGTTCCCAATTCCTGCATTCATTCTTCCTATCTTTCAGTCATCAGCCACCAGCCACCATCTTGGCCGTTGTTGGGATGATGCCGCCCTCTTCAGCCTTCCACAGCTTCCTTTAAACGTTTCCTGGATGCAGAAAATTTGCCTGACACCGTTTCCCTTGGCCTCTGGCTTCCTTTTACTCTCTCTTGCCTTGAGTAAATTGTTCCTCTGTCTCTCTGTCCCCTCCCCCCCTCCCAGGCACCTAATGAAGGACAACCGAGTTGAGAAACTAGCTCCCTTTAATTAAGAGAGTAACTGGGGAATCAGCTCCACGCATCAATCTTCATTTGCTACTTGACAGGCTGGGAAGGAAAAGGCGGAGCAGAAGAGAGACGGAGCTGCCCCGGGAAAGCACCAAATAACAATAAAAGACAACAAATATACTGCATTTGGCAAGGTGAGCGTCCCCAGCTCTTTCCCCGGGACTCTAGACAGAGCAGCTGACTCAGAACAGCCTGAAGGTAAATAAATCGGTATTGTCCTGGCATGTCATTGGACAGTCTGCCAACAGGACCTGAGTTTCTCAGGAAGGACCTTGGTTTGAGGTGACTTGGTGAAAAAGGCTCTGCAAATGGAAATATATCACCAGGAGCTTTTCCTAAGCTTTGGGGCATGAAGCTGGTTGACACTTTGCAACCGCCAATGGTATTTCTGTAACTCTTTACAGCCATTCTGGACGGAGCTAAATCCATAAATCTTAGTACCTTATAAAACAGCTACCAGATCTGGGCTGCTAAATCTCCTGCTCTGTTCACACAGTGACCATCCGTCCTATTTCTGTTTTACGCTGCGTGCAAAACTCCAGACCTCCAGTAGGTGGCAGCTGTTGTTGCCAAAAAACTAACTCTATGCTGCCCTCAAGCGATGGTCTGGAGTTTTGCAACCTAGATCTTGATGCCAACAGCAATAATAAACAAGAAGCCCAACTTCCCATTTCTGATTTACACTATGTGTAAAACTCTCGATTACCAGCAGGTGGCAATAGTAGGTGCCTAAAACCAATTCTATGCTGCCCTCTAGTGCTGGTCTGAAGTTTTGCAACTTAGATCTTGGTGCCAACAGCATAATAAGCAAGAAACCCAACTTCCCATTTCTGATTTATACTACATACAAAACTCTTGATAACCAGCAGGTGGCAGCAGTAATTGCCTAAATCTAATTCAATGCTGCCCTCTAGTGGTGGTTTGAAGTTTTGCAATCTTGGTGCCAACAGCATAATAAGCAAGAAACCCAAATAATACTGATATCACCTCCCTTTCTGGAGCGTAGTCCAACCACAAGCAAGATTAACAAGCAAGAATGAATAACTTACATGAAAGCAATAAAAACAGTACATAACATGTTATATTAACAATATGTTGTAAATTTCCTGGGTTTCAAAATATATGAGAGTCGATTGCCTTCATGCGCCACCTTGTAGAAAAAAAAAAAATTGGATTCACACAATACACTGAGAATTGACTAAAACAAAGAATCAAAGATTTGCCAGCACATTTGCACACATATAATTCAAACAAATAAGGTTAAAATTTGCCGTGTTGTGTATGCATAGCCATTAGGTCTTTAAGTGAGAGGGTTGTTGCTGTATGAATGCAGTCACTAAGCAAGCACTACTGAATTACCCCATTACCTGGTTTTGGATAACAGACTAGTTCAGGGATCACCAATCCTGGCAACTTTAAGACCTGTGGACTTCAATTCCCAGAACTCCTCAGCCAGCAAAGCTTAAAGTTGCCAAGGTTGGAGACCCCTGGATTGTGTTTCTCAAAGTGCGGCAAATTTAAGAGTTAAAAATTCACACATATTAAAATTGCCAAGTTTGGGAAACAATGCACCAGACTAGACCATAATCTCCCATTTGGGCTGGGCTGGCATACCTATAGATTTTATAAATAAACTAGCTTGATACCCATGCTTCGCTATGAAACTATGTGGTCGGGCTTAGTTTTTTGGGGAGGAAAATAAGAGGGGGAAATTTCTGCCTCTGCCTGCCTACCAGCATCCATCAGTATTCATCTGGTTAGTGTCCTGTCAGTGTGTGAGAGAGTTGAGGGCTGTTTGGAAACTGAAACAGTATTTGCTGTGTGAGCAAGGAGGCAGCAAGGAGCCTGGGCATGGCTTAGCTCAACTTCTGAATTAAAGCTGCTTGGTGCTGTGAAACTAAAACTGAAACTCCCCTCCTCTGCTTGTGTTTTGCAATTGGAACAGATTTCTTTTCAGGTGGGGAGGGGGAGTAGAATTCCTTAGCATCAGAGCGTGCTAATAATAATATACAAAATGCTAATGCTCTGATGGTCATTTGGAAAAATCTTTTCTTAGTGAGCACCTAGAAGCTAAAAGGAACATACGTGCCAAATTTCAAGTTTGTAAGCTTTACGGTTCTGGGGATTTTGTGATGATGTGTGACTGGCATTTCGCTTTTAGATAGATAGATAGATGATAGATAGATAGATAGATAGATAGATAGAGAGAGAGAGAGATAGATAGATGATAGAGAAAGAGAGAGAGAGAGAGAGAGAGACAGACAGACAGGCAGGCAGGCAGGCAAATAAATAAATCTCAAATGTTTAGTTCATATTTAAATTAACCAAGTTCAGCATGTCAAGATTCTGAGCTGACCTGAAAAGAATACCAAAGTTCACTTAGAGCCAGTTTGGTCTAGTAGTTAAGGCATTCGGCTCAAAACTAGAGACCATGAGTTCTAATCCTGCCTTAGGCATGAAGGCCAGTTGGGTGAATCTCTGGCTGGGGAATTCTGGGAGTTGAAGTCCACACAGCTTTAAAGTTGCTGAGATTGGGGAAACCCTGGTCTACCGTCACAACGCCTGGGTTGCCTTCTTCTGCATCCTCTCCTTATTTATCCCTGGGAATGGCTGTTCCTGCCTGTCCCCTTCTCCCCCTCAGCTGACAAGCTGTCCAAACAGCAAACCATTCAGCCATTAAAGCCAACACCACAGCTTGGATGGTGGCCATAATAAACCCTGGTAACCCTTTGCTTTACAAAACGGGATTTTTTTTCTCCCCCAAAACAGCAATTGTATGAGTCTTGCCAGGATCCAGGCTTTGGATTCCATGGAGCCAACATCTCTTTCCCCTGCTTTTATCTTAAAAAGGGCAGGTTGGAGAGAGTTAAAATCCTTCGCTGGCTTTTCCCCCGAGTTTTCGGAGTGACTCAGAAGCTGGCCTTGGTGAAGCTCGGCCACATAAGGACAAGCCAGCCTATTCAGAATAACAGAGCTTGGAAGGGACCTTGGGGGGGTCTTCTAGTCCAAGTCCCTGCTCAAGCAGGAGACCCTATACCAGGGGTGTCGAACTCAGGGCCCGCGGGCCCACCGGGTGCTTAAATCTGGCCCGTGGAGCCGGCCTGGAAACATTAAAGGACTGGCCCATGGTGCCTCTGCCCGCCAAAACGGGCTGCGGAGTCCCTGAGTGTCCCATCTTTGGCCTGTTGAGACTCTAGAAAAAGGGCAGAGAAGAGCAACCAGGATGATTAGGGGACTGGAGACTAAAACATATGAAGAACGGTTGCAGGAGCTGGGCCTGGCTAGTCCAGTGAAGAGAAGGACCAGGGGAGACAGGATAGCGGTCTTCCAATATTTGAGGGGCTGCCGCAGAGAGGAGGAAGGGGTCGAGCTATTTTCTAAAGCACCGAAAGGCCAGACAAGGAATAATGGATGGAAACTGAACAAGGAGAGATTTGGAAATAGGGAGAAACTATCTGACAGTGAGAACAATCAACCAATGCTACAGAAGTTGCCCCCAGAAGTTGTGGGAGCGCCATCACTTGAGACTTTCAAGAAGAGATTGGACTGCCATTTGTCAGAAATGGTGTAGGGCCTCCCGCTTGGGCGGGGCGGGGGGGGTTGGACTAGATGACCTGGCAACTGGAATTTCTTGTTTTCCTTTGAAGACATTTTTCTTCTCATCCAAGAAGTTTCTTCAGCTCTGACTGGATGGTGAGGAATGGAAAGATTTATATATGTCGTTTGCCTTGTTTTAGAGAGTCATTGAGACCACTTTGAGGCAAAACTCCAAGTGGCCTCAACGACCCTTTAAAAAAATTCAAATGACTAGCTGTCTGCAAGGAATATAAATCCTTCCATTCCTCACCATCCAGTCAGAGCTAAAAAAAAGCTTCTTGGATAAGAATCAAAACTTCAAAGAAAAACGTGAAACTCCAGTTGTCTCCGGAAAAAGTACCTTTGGGACAACCATGAACTTTTCAGTGGTGTTGTAACCTTCAACGGTCACTAAATGAACTGTTGTAAGTCGAAGAGTACCTGTATACAGCCCAGCCTTTTTCCAAACCAGGGTTAAAGAAAGACTGGTGCTAATACACCTTATCCAAACGTGATTTTGTCTGGCCCCCATGGTGGGGCAGAGAGACATGGAATATATTGTCCATCTATCTGGGAATTTACAGAAAAAGCAAAACACATTACAACAACAAAACAATACAACCTGTCACAATGACCTCATAGTACAAACAACCTGTTTCTAATCTATAATCCTCCCAGATCTTGTGTTGGTCTATGAGTCTCTCTGTCCTCAAGCATTACCAGTATTCAAGATGGAGAACTATGTCCCCTTTATGACTTGTGGCCTTGGCTGGCCCAGGGATTCTGGGAATTGAAGTCCACAAGTCATAAAAGGGCCATTGTTCTGTTCTTGCTATACACACAAATTATATGCTGGGGACATGACAATCATAGTTTCCCACCCCTGTGTCATGTCGAACAGCTGACAGCGAGTGGGAGTGTGGCTCCGTTAGCTGTGGAGGAAACTGGGGAAGGGCAAAGTCTGGCTGAGCAGAGCAGGGGACATATAGAAGAAGGGAGAGGGAATTCAGAGGAAGACCTGGGCCCACCCCTCTTCATCCTTGGGCATGCAGGGAGGAATGGAGAAGAGAGCAACGTGGGTTGCGTGGCTTACGGGGGAGGAAAGGGCCCTGATTCCCTTCATTAGCCACACCTGGGAAGAAAGTTGAAGAGACATGTAGGGTGCGTGCGGTAGCTGTTGGGAGCAAACGTGAGTTGATCTGGTGTTGTCTTTGCTTATCTATGTTCCTGGCATCTTCCCAACCATGTTGAGTTTTGACGTGCCTTCAAGTCTGGAATTCTTGCTCCTCCCCTGCCAATTAATTATCTCAGTTTGGCTTGATTGGACTTATAGTTACAGTTTTTGCTGACCACGTTTGGGACTTGATTCTCTGCAGTCAAAGACTGTTCCTGGGAGAGTTTTTCTCCAGCCAGAAGGCAACCAGGACATTAGGGGCAAAGTTGGAGCTAATAAGGGAGGATTCATGGCCTTGGGTCATCACACCCTGATGTGAATGAAGTCACATGCACCAAGGTTTCAGCTAGGTTGAAATGGAAGACTTTGGATTCCAGCAAAAAGTTAACTACCCTGCATTGTCTGAATGGAAATAAACAGGTCTGCTTGTGTGAAACGCTAGCATTTGAGTCTGTGATTTCACCTAAGGTTTTCCTATGCATATTTATTTCTATTTGCAAGCAAGCTCCCGTGTTATTCTTCAGAACCACTCAAACAAGCCCTAGCTAGGAATCAGTCTTAATGAACTAATTAAATCTTAATGAACTCACTCCGTACACTTACTTCTACTAGGATCTGATTAAGGTAGCAAATGAGCACTGGGAAACATTTATAAAATATCCAGTCAAAATCCAATTAAACAATCATGACTTTGATCTCCAAACACCAGCCTGGAATTCATTTCTCCTTCGTTTTGGTTCTATCTACCAGTAGTTCTTTCCCTTGGCATCAGCCAACTTTGTCAAGCTAAGCTGAGCAATTTACAAAGCGTATGTGGGCTCCAGGGAGGTTACACCCCCGCTTCTCAAAACAACAGGCACCAAAATCGATGTATTTTTGAAGTATGAGTTTTATACCACTTGGAGCAGAGGTGGGATTCAAAAATACCCGCAACCGGTTCGCTGCCCAGTTGCTGAGTGGGCGTGGCCATGGTGGGTGTGGCCTATCAGAATTTCCAGGAGGACTGTTTTTCGCCTTCCCAAGGGTCCGTAGGCTTCGCCCTCTGGAAGCCAGAAACAGGCCCATTTCGTGACTTCTGGTACTTCCGGTATGGCCATTTCCCGCCCCCGCTGAGCCTCCGCTTATCTGCATCATATATTTAATTAGAGAATGTGAATGATGACATTGTGGGAGCGCCATCACTTGAGACCTTCAAGAGGAGATTGAACTGCCATTTGTCAGAAATGGTGTAGGATCTCCTGCTTGGGCAGGGGGTTGGACTAGATGACCTACCAGGTCCCTTCCAACTCTGATTATCTGTTATCTGTTATGACACCCAGCCTGTGAACATGCTCAACTGAAGAATCTGGTTTATGACACACCCAGGGGGGAGCGGGGAAACAGGGTCACAAGTGACTGTAAATTACCTATGCCAGAGTTGGCTTCATACAGGGCAGTGCCAGTACGTCACCTCTAATAAATCCTTTGAAGTTTTTTGAAGTTTGGCTCGAGAATCATGATTTAATTACGGCTTCCCTCAGGCCTCTGGGAGGGCGAAAATGGCCTCGCCCAGGCTCTGGAGGCCCTCTGGAAGCCAGAAACAGGGCCATTTTGTGACTTCCGGTACTTCCGGTATGGCCATTTCCCCCACCACCCCAGAGCCTCCGCTTATCTGCATCAAAAATGGGTTGTGTGGAGACTCTTGGGGGGGGCGGGATGGGGTGGACGGAGCCAGCCGATTGGTTCAAATCCCGATTTGGCGAACCAGATGCCAATGTAACATCCGGTTCATCCGAACCTGTAAAATCCCACTCCTGATTTGGATAGGGGTTGAAAGGAAAGTTTTAAGGATGGCTATTGTAGCCAAGTGGCTGCTTAGAAGGTTGCCATGTGCAATTTCCACCCTCAGACCGCTCACCAAAAGAACACTAAAAATGGGATGAGTCCCTCCTGATGAGGTCATCAAATGGCCTCTTGAACTTCTCCAGAAGATCTGAAAGCGGAGAAGTTCCAGGAACAAGGCCGTTCAATAGCTGCATATTCCCCAATTAAGTAATAGATCCGAATACTGTATCGCGTGAGCATACAGAAAATTGGCTTAATTGAATAAGCAACTTCACCATGAGTAAGAATGTCAGAGGAAACACAACCCGTGTGCCCGTAAATTACACCATCTGCCTCCCACTACTGTGCAGCTGCTTAGTAGAGATGGGCCTTTCCCCAGATGCACCACAAACCAGCAACTAAATAGGGTTTACTACTGTAGAAAGTTAGCACCCACCTCTGTCCTAAAGGTGAAGGTTCCCCTCGCACATACATGCTAGTCATTTCTGGCTCTAGGGGGCGCTGCTCATCTCCATGACAAAGCCAAAGAGCCAGCGCTGTCCGAAGACGTCTCTGTGGTCATGTGGCCGGCATGACTAAACACCGAAGGCACACGGAACGCTGTTACCTTCCCCCAAAGTGGTCCCTAATTTTCTACTTGCATTTTTACATGCTTTTGAATTGCAAGGTTGGGAGAAGCTGGGACAAGGAACGGGAGCTCACTCCATTACACGGCGCTGGGGGTTCGAACCGCCGAACTGCCCAGCTTTCTGATCGACAAGCTCAGCGTCTCAGCCACTGAGCCATCATGTGCGTAATACCCCTCTCCTAGAAGAATGAAATATTTTGAGAAATATTAAAAAGGTGGAATGTGGTATTTCCCTGGATGATTAAAGAGGAAACATGTTTTAAAGACAGAGAGCAGCTGCCTTTCCCCCAGCAGAAATTTAGTGCCCATTAAGAAAAACTGGGCCAGCCTATATTGAAGACAAAATGCCTCCAGCTCCAGGGCGATGGGATTACGTCATGACCCTCCAGGATATAATAGGATTGGCCCAGAGGTGGTATTCAGCAGGTTCTGACCAGTTCTGGAGAACCGATAGCGGAAATTTTGAATAGTTTGGAGAACCAGCAAATCCCACCTCTGACTGGCCCCGCCCCCATCTATTCTCTGCCTCCTGAGTCCCAGTTGATTGGCTGGGTCTTCTTTGGTTGCCCTGCACAGGAGAACAGAGCTGGAAAGCAGGTTAGTGGGGTGGGGAGGGAATGGGGATTTTGCAGTAAGCTTCCCCCAAAAGTGGGGAGGGAATGGAGATTTTACTGTATCCTTCCTCTGCCACACCCACCAAGCCACACCACGCCCGCCAAGCCATGCCCACAGAACCGGTAGTAACAAATGTTGAATCCCATCACTGGATTAGTCTATCTAGCAGCAGAGCTCACCACACTACACAGTCTAAGGACGTTGCATCACCCAGCAGGCTTCAACCAAGCCTAGGACTCAGACAGCCTACAAAGTTAGCTGTGACCCCCTACAGCAACCAATAGAATACATGTTCTTGCACAGTAACAGGACGCTCAAGAGCAAGGCCCAAGAGAGGGTATAAATATATCTCTCTCAACTCCATGTGGTCAGCCGCACCAGGACCATGTGCTTGACGGTTCTTCTTCATTAAACCATCTTTCCAGTCAGCCTCCATGTTTCCAGTGTCTTTCTCCCAGCTTGGAATTGAACCAGATGGATATTTATTCCAATACTACATACAAAAAATACGCAGCTGTGCATGTGTGATCCTCTCTCTCAAACACTGGAAAGTATGGTGCCTATATTAGATTAGGTTAGATTACCAGAGTTAGAAGGGACCTTGTAGGTCATATAGTCCAACTCCCCGCCCAAGCAGGAGACCCTAACCTAGATTTGGTGGAAAAGGAACACAAAGCACTGGATGGCAGAATAGAGAGAGAGAGAGAGGGAGGGAGGGAGGGAGGGAGGGAGGGAGGGAGGGAGAGGGAGAAAGAACTCTTTGCTTCCAGATAGTATTAGCCTTGGCTCTTGCGGCTGAGATCTGGCATTATATTTTTGCCGTAGTCTAGACCAGTATTTCTCAACCTTGGCAACAGTGGACTTCAACTCCCAGAATTCCCCAACTAACATGTTGGCTGTGAATTTCTGGGAACTGAAATCCATACATGCTGACTGTGGAATTCTGGGAGTTGAAGTCCATGCGTGCTGGCTGTGGAATTCTGGGACTTGAAATCCATGCATGCTGGTTGTGAAATTATGGGAGTTACCTGAACACACCTGTAAGTGGATCATAAGCTTCTTAACAGACAGGAAGCAGCCGGTGAAGCTAGGCGTAATCACATCCGATACCTGTACAATCAGCACAGGGCTCCCCCAAGGCTGTGTGCTTTCTCCACTTCTCTTCTCCCTTTATACCAATGACTGCATCTCAAACGATCCATCTGTTAAAATACTGAAGTTTGCTGATGACAACAACAGTGATTGGTCTCATTCGAGACAATGACGAATCTGCATACAGACAAGAGGTTGTACAACTCGCCTCGTGGTGTAACCAGAACAATCTGGAACTGAACACACTCAAAACCGTAGAAATGGTGGTAGATTTTAGAAGAAACCCTCCCATACTACCACCTCTTACAATACTAGACAACACAGTATCAACAGTAGAGACCTTCAAATTTCTAGGTTCTATCATATCACAAGACCTAAAATGGACGGATACCTAACATCAAAAGCGTCATCAAAAAAAGAACATCACAGAATGTTCTTTCTGCGCCAACTCAGACAGCTCCAACTGCCCAAGGAGCTGCTGATCCAGTTCTACAGAGGAATGATTGAGTCTGTCATTGCACCTCAATAACTGTCTGGTTTGGTTCTGCAACCCAACAGAACAGACACAGACCTAAGAAGATAAGTAGGACTGCAGAAAAAACAATTACTATCAACCTGCCTTCAATCAAGGACCTGTATACTGCACGAGTCAAAAAGAGGGCTGTGAAAAAATTTACAGACCCCTCACATCCCGGACATAAATTGTTTCAACTCCTTCCCTCAAAACGACGCTATAGGGCACAGCAGACCATATCAACTAGACACAAGAACAATTTCCCCCCGAAAGCCATCACTCTGCTAAACAAATAATTCCCTCAACACTGTTCAACTATTTACAAAGCCTGCACTACTATTACTATTAATCTTCTCATCACTCCTTATCGCCCATCCCCTCCCACTTGTGGCTGTATGACTGTAACTTTGTCGCTTGTATCCTAATGATTTTTATTGACTGTTTCCTAGTATGATTTGATTGCCTATTATACCCTATGACTATTATTAAGCGTTGTACCTGATGATTCCTGACTCTTGATGAATGTATCTTTTCTTTTAAGTATACTGAGAGCATTTGCACCAAGTCAAATTCCTTGTGTGTCCAATCACACTAGGCCAATAAAGTATTCTATTCTATTCTATTCTATTCTATTCTATTCTATTCTATTCTATTCTATTCTATTCTATTCTACTCTACTCTACTCTACTCTATTCAAGTCCATACAAGCTGGCTGTGGAATTCTGGGAGTTGAAGTCCACACATCTTAATTGAGAAACACTGATCTAGCCTGAGGGACTTCCCTGAGAGAGCTGCCCCCCCCCCCACCTGGTCTCCCCTCCCTCGCAGTCCCACCTGCAGCAAACCTGGCCTCCTGCTCTCCTTCACTGAGATCCGAATAGGAGTTGAAGGTGCTTTCCAAAGTCGCAGGAGAATCGATAGGTTTGCACCACCCCTTCCACTCGATCAGGTGGGCCACTCTGCCTTGCGCCATGGCGGTGGGCTTGGTCACATGGTCCTTCACCACCTGGGAAATACCTGCAACCAAACGGACGGACAGCGTTAGCTGGAGAGGCCCTCGAGTTACTGAGAGGGTGTGTCTCTTTCCCCTTTTAGGATGCTTCCCAACCTGTGAAGGATCCCGGAGACCATGAATTAAGGCACTTGGAATTCTGATAATTAATATATTTCACGTTCTAAGGCAGAGGTCTCCAACCTTGTCAACTTTAAGACTTGTGGACTTCAACTCCCAGAATTCCTCAGCCGGCTATGCCTTGTCTTAAAGTTGACAAGGTTGGAGACCCCTGTTCTAAGGAACACTGGTTCTTCTAAAAGAGCTAAATGCGTGATTCACAACTTGTTCTGAACTTCCTTCATCCCTTCTGTGTGACTGACATGACTTTGGTTAATTAAAATATGCTTTTGTCTCTGCGTGCGTTCATATTTCAAATGTTTTCATACTTGCAATGGGGGCAGAGAGCATTTACTGGAAAGGAGAAAAGCTGGTTAATTAAATAGGCTGCGGAGGAAGAGGTTTTAGAGCACACTGTTTTCCCAGCCAGCCAGGGAATTCTGGGAGTTGAAGTCCACCCATCTCTAAGTTGCCAAATTTGGAAAGCACTGCTTTTTAGAGGCACCGTGGATTGGAATCCTGAACCTACAAACAGGGAGAGGATCGAAAAACTGCGGTGAGAGAAACAAAAGCAACAATAGCAGGCTGAAACAAATACATATACGTACTTAACATTTCTTAAGATTGCTAAAAAATAAACACAACATAATAAGCTTTATAAATAAGGGCATCAACCATAAAGCTATCTGGACTTTTTCACACACACACACACACACACACTCACTCACTCACAGACAAAACACCTTGGCAAAAATCTCTTTCATTTCAGAATATTTTCCAGTGCCCTTTTTAGGGTCCTGTTCATTTTGCTATTCGAGTCTGCCTGGATTCTTGGCAGCTTTATGGACAAATATATTCTGTTTTCTTAGCAAGATTTTCAAAAATTGCTTGCCCTTGCTGTCTTCTTTCCAGACCTGAGAGAGAGAGAGAGAGTGATGGGCCCAAAGTCATCCAACTGGCTTAATGCCTAAGGCAAAACTAAAACTTATGGTTTCTAGTCCTTCAGTCACGACCCTAAATTGGCTGTCATTCTCAGGGCAAAGCAACATGGGCCTTGTTATACTTGAGGGACCGTTGGTGCTCTCTGAGCTTGTTGCTTTCTTGCAGACATTTCATTACCCAAACTAGGTAACGTCATCAGTGCTAGTCTTGTTATACTTGCCAAATAATATGGGTTATTGATGTATTTTATGTTACTTAATTTTGCTTTTTACGTTGGATCACAATCTTGTAAGAACGGAATGTTGAATTTTTCTCCCGTAACACCCGAGTCGCTGTAATTTTCTACCTGCGAGATAAGAACTTTTTCAGGCTGAGGTAACAAAGGATGACAGGAAGTCCTTGACTTACGACCATGATTGAGCCCAACATTCCTGTTGTTAAGTGAGACTAAGTGAATTTTACCCCATTTTGCACTTCCTTTTATAGTTTGTAAAAAAAAAAAAGAAGAGAAAGTTCAAAGAAAAAGTTGATTGGTGAGGGGAAAAAAAAAACCATTCTGCCCCATGTATAACCTCATGGAAATAAGGCATCCAACAACAGGTAAGTGTAGGAATTGAAAAAAGCGTTATATGTTGAAATAGAAAAAGAAAAAAATAAGTTAGCATGGAAAAAAATCTGATGATTTGTAAAAGGACACAGTTCAATTGAAACAATTAGTACATACAATGTATGCATGTATTCTATGATGTGGAAAGGGGGGGGGGGTCTTTTTATTTATTTCGTCAAAAGCTTACAATACAATAGAATTAAGAATAAACATAAGTTTAAATAGAAGAAATAGGAACTAAGAATTGCAGACCAATAGGACAGGGACGGTAGGCATGATTGTGCACTTATGCACGTCCCTTACGGACCTCTTAGGAATGGGGTGAGGTCAATAGTGGATAGTTTGTGGTTAAAGGAGTGGGGGTTTGAGGATGTAACAACAGAGTCAGGTAGTGAGTTCCAGACATTGACCACTCTGTTGCTAAAATCATACTTCCTGCAATCAAGTTTGGAGTGATTTACATTAAGTTTATATCTGTTGCGTGCTCTTGTGTTGTTGTGGTTAAAGCTGAAATATTCATTAACTTGTAAGACGTTGTAACTTATGATTTTAAGTCCAATCTTAGCCGGCGTAGTTCAAGTTTGTCTAAGCCTAGAATCTCAAGTCTGCTGTTGCAAACAGAGGAATGTAATACTCTTCTGGTAAAATACTTCTGGACTCGCTCAGTTGTATTTATGTCAGATACACAGTGCAGATTCCAGACAGCAGAGTTGAATTCAAGTATCGGTCTAGCAAAGGTTTTGAATGCCCTAGTTTGCAAATCAGTATTATCAGAGGAGAAGCTTCGTAAAATTAAATTTACAGCTCAGATCTGCTGCTTGGGTAACAGTTTATCCTCCATGTTAAATTATCCAGGCCTTGTGGTCTGGAGGGGACACTGCAGCTTTGCATAAAAGCATTGAACAACACAGGAAGTGGCAGTTACCCATTTTATAGCACGATACCATCGTCTCTTGAGACCGAAGGATGCCAATTCCAATTCAAGTACATACAAATATAATACTCCTCAATCTACAATCTCCTCAGTTCATTTACTGACTGTTTGAATAGAACAGAACAACAGAGTTGGAAGAGACCTTGGAGGTCTTCTAGTCCAACCCCCTACCTGTTGCAATATACTGGTACTGACTGGTACGATAAACGTGGCAATGCTCGACCTTGTAAGAGTGATGGATGGACAATGGAATGTAGCCATGTGATAAGGTACTGTGTGGAAAAGTACTAGCTGGAGAAACGGAGAAATGAGAGTAATATGGGAGAAACGAAAGTTAAGAGTAACTGGGGGGAGCTAAGAAGTAGGGGCATAAGATACCAGCTATGGTATAGGTGTGCATTAGCATAATTATGTAGAAAGCTTCTTTGTTCTGCTATGACGTATGCATGTAGCCTATAAAAGGAGTACCCACCATTATTAAAGGGTCTTTCATCCCAAGTAAACACTGTGTGCCGTGTGTTTATTTATTTACCATGAGAGGCCCAGGGCTCTGAGTTCAGACCCTGTCGTCGCCAGGAAGCAGGCAGTGAAAAGCCACACTACCTAGGCAGGAAACACTGCACCACTTCAGACAAATGGTTATCCAACATCTTTTTAAAAACTTCCAGTGTTGGAGCATTCACAAGTTCTGGAGGCAAGTTGCTCCACTGAAGTTACAATGCCACTGAAAAAAGTGACGTAAATATTTTTCACACTTACGGCCATTGTGGCATCCCCATAGTCATGTGATCAAAATTTGGCTGCTTGGTAACTAACTCATATTAATGACAGTTGCAGTGTCCAAGGGTGAGGTGATGCCCTGTCATACCCCTGTTGGAATCTGATTCCGAGGGGGAGGCCAAGCAGCTGACAGGATGTGGGAGTGTGGCTTCGGTGGCTGTGGAAGAAACTGGGGAAGGGCACAGTCCGGCTGGGTATTCAGAGGAAGACCCAGGCCCACCCCCTTATCCATCCTAGGAATGGATAAGGGAGCAACGTGGGTTTGGGGGGAGAAAAAGGCCCTGATTCCCTTCATTAGCTACAGCTGGGAAAACAGGATTTAAAAAGGACATTTATGCACAGCACCTTGCTGGAAGCAAAGAGTGCATTATCTTTGTTTGTCACGTCTTATCTGAGTTCTGGCATCCTCCTAACTGTGTGTGTTTCGTTATCTTTTGAAGTCTGCAATTCCTTATCCTGCCCTGTCTCGTTAATTGCTGCAGCGTGGTTTGTGTTGGTTTTTATTTATAATTTAAATGTACTTTGGATTCAGATGGAATTTCTTCTCTTTAAAAACTGTTCTTGGGAGAGATTTTTTCTCCAGCCGATAACAGGACATTGGGGGCCAAGTTGGAGGTATTAAAGGGACTTTACCTACTTTTGTGACTTTGTTGCTTTTGTGCCACACCCCGGGTCAGCACATGCCCGTTTGCAAACTTGGACAAGCAAAGTCAATGGGGAAGCTAGCTTCTCTTAACAACATTGTCGCTAACTTAACTTAGTACTAACTTACTAATTTAACTGTCAAACTGTGGGGTAATCAGCAGATTCCAGCAGTTCAAAGGAGTACAAATAACCCTCAACTCACAACAGTTCACTTAGTGACCATTTGAAGTTACAACAGCACTGAAAAAAAGTGATTTATGACCATTCTTTACACTTATGACCATTACAGCATCCTCATGGTCACGTGCTTTACATTCGGATGCTTGAACAACTAAACTCACATTTATGATGGTTGCAGGGTCCCTGGGTCATGTGACCAAGTGAATGGAGAAACCAGATTCACTTAACAACTGGGTTATTCATTGAACAACTGCAGTGATTCACTTAACAAATATGGCAAGTTGTGGAAACTGACTTAAAATGTATATGTGTTACGTAGTTGCTAGGAGTTTATTGTTATTAATTTTTAAGGTGATAATTAAAGTTAAATGATTATTGGGAATTAAAGAGGAGTTAACCAAATGATATATAAGGTACAGGGGTGGTACACTCTAATTGGTAAATGTGGGGGAAACTTTTTTGAAATGTTTGAATTGAGAAGGAGTTTTTGAAATGACGAAATAAGAATATGCGATGCAATTGCAAACCTGACAGATAAAAGTATATAAAGCACAATAAATATAAAGATATGAGAATTATTTAAAGTTAAAAGAAATGGGTTGAGAAATGAATAGAAAATATATAAAATAAGTTTGAGAAAAGTATTTCAGAAAATTAATAGGAAATATGTAAAGAAATGATAGGATATGAAACTAAATGTGAAAGATGAATATGTAATCAAGGTCATGTTTGTATGGAAATAGAATCATGCTGTTCACTAAAAAAAAGATGTTTTTGAAATGTGAAAAAAATAAAAAAACTTTTTACAAAATAAACCCAAATATGGCAAGAGAAATGCAGCAAAATTCACTTGACAAATTACTCTCTTAGCAACATGAATTTTGGGCTCAACTGCAGTCATAAGTTGACGATTAGCTGCATAAAGATATTGCTGTCAACTCGTAAAATATTCCTATGCCTGTTTTAGTAGTTGCCATAAAAAGGGGGGGAAAGCGAAAGTACGTTCCAACTCTTATCTTTAAAAGATTGTAACTAAAATACCAGAGATTTTGCCTGCAAATATATTTAATTAGAGAATGTGAATGATCACATTGTGGGAGCGCCATCACTTGAGACCTTCAAGAAGAGATTGGACTGCCATTTGTCAGAAATGGTGTAGGATCTCATGCTTGGGCAGGGGGTTGGACTAGATGACCTACAAGGTCCCTTCCAACTCTGATCATCTGTTATCTGTTATGACACCCAGCCAGTGAACATGCTCAATTGGAGAATCTGGTTTATGACACACCCAGGGGGGAGCGGGGAAACAGGGTCACAAGTGACTGTAAATTACCTATGCCAGAGTTGGCTTCATACAGGGCAGTGCCAGTACGTCACCTCTAATAAATCCTTTGAAGTTTTTTGAAGTTTGGCTTGAGAATCATGATTTAATTAGGGCGATTGCTGGAATCCTGACAATTGCAAGCTTAAGGTCTCTACAAGAATCTGAACTACTAACAGTCAAGGGAAATTAGTGGGAGTTAAGAATAGAAAGGTATTTAAGGTGGGCTGGACTTAGATCTCTTGTAGGCTCGCAGAGACGCATAACCGATGACACATTTTACTCTTCCCTTGGTCACAGCTTGGTCGTCTGCTACAACTGCAGTGATTCACTTAGCAACTGTGGCAAGAAAGGTTGTAAAAGGTTGTAAAAAGGTTGTAAAAAGGCAACATTTACTTAGCTAAAACCTCACTTAGCAACAGAAATTTTGGGCTCATTGTGGTCGTAAGTTGAGGATTACTTGTACCTGTTAAAATTGAAAAACGCTTAAGTTTTTTGTGACTATTATTGTTTTTCAACTTATCAAAGAACTGGGGAAAGGGAAGGGTGAGATTGAAAGCAGAGATTGCAGACTTCAACCTTGAGAGCCAAGGACACTTTTGCAGGTGGCCGCCAAGGCATGGACTGTTATCAAAGCAAAAGAACACTTCCTAACTGGACCATGTGACTCGTTCCATGGGAGGAGAGGTGAAATCTGTTTCTTAGCTACACAGGCTTGCACGGGAAAATTCAGAGTTGGTTTTGCTTTCTTCAGTGTTGAAATAATGTACTCAATAAAGTTTTGCTTTGGGGATTTTAAAGTTCCTGAAAGTGCCTGCTTTTGTTGCCTTTGTCAGTTGGATGGATGACAGGTACCCTTTTCACTACACAGTGACAAAATAAGCCGATATTCAGACCGAATCTGAAATTCGTCTAAGCGCAACCTCTATGGCATTTCTTAAGCATCTTTTGCACAATCCAGACGATTCGACATCTTTTTTGACCTGCTATTTCATTTTCCCTTCAATCATCAAATCTTAGCCAAACACTTTCTAAGTCCCATTTCCTGTGTCAGGGTTCCAGCAATTGCTCTAATTAAATCATGATCCTCGAGCCAAACTTCAAAAAACTTCAAAGGATTCATTAGAGACGACATACTGGCACTGCCCTGTATGAAGCCAACTCTGGCCTACATAATTTACAATCACCTGTGACCCTGTTTCCCCCTCCTGGGTGTCTCATAAATCAGATTCTCCAATTGAGCACCTTCAAGGGCTGGGTGTCATCAATCACGTTCTCCAATTAAATATATTCGCGGGCAAAAGCTCTGGTATTTTAGTTACAATCTTTTAAAGATAAAGAGTTGGAATGTACCTTCGCTTTCAAACTGCTGCACTGCTCTTCCAGATTTGCTTCTCTCTCCTCCACCCCGTCGCTTTTTTTTTTTTTATGGCAACCACAAACAGGCCTAGGAATGTTTGATGAGTTGACATCCTGGACTTGCAAGGAGCACTAAATAACGGCCTCCACTGAGCCCTAAGCCAAACCTTGCTAAAGTTAAAACTCAGAGGGTTGTGAGAATGTGGCTGGCGTCTCCCACATCTTACCATGCAAGGAAGATCGAGCGAGGGCTGCAATTTCTTGAATGGTCAGCGCTCGCCGGGACTTGGGTAGCATTTCGATGGTGTCTTCTACATTGACCTGTGGAAGAGAAGAAACCAGAGGTCATTAAGAAGGTTCAGGTAGAAACTCCCGGCGTGCCTCTAGATCAGAGATGGGGAACGATCAGAGGTGGGTATTCAGCAGGTTCTGACCAGTTCTGAAGAACCGGTAGCGGAAATTTTGAGTAGTTCGGAGAACCAGCAAATCCCACCTCTGACTGGCCCCGCCCCCATCTATTCCCTGCCTCCTGAGTCCCAGTTGATTGGCTGGGTCTTTTTTGGTTGCCCTGCACAGGAGAATGGAGCTGGAAAGCAGGCTAGTGGGGTGGGGAGGGAATGGGGATTTTGCAGTATCCTTTCCCTGCCATGTCCATAAGCCACGGCCACCAAGCCGTGCCACAGAACAGTTAGTTAAAAAAAATTGAATCCCACCACTGGGAACGATGGCCCCTTTATGACTTATGGACTTTAATTCCCAGAATTCCTGAGCCAGCCAGACTGAGCAGAGATGGTATTCAGTTGGTTCTGACCAGTTCTGGAGAACCGATAGTGGAAATCTTGAGTAGTTCGGAGAACTGGCAAATCCCACCTCTGACTGGCCCCGCCCCCATCTATTCTCCGCCTCCTGAGTCCCAGCTGATTGGCTGGGTCGTCTTTGGTTGCCCTGCACAGGAAAACGGAGCTGGAAAGCAGGTTAGTGGTGTGGGGTGGGAATGGAGATTTTGCAGTATCCTTCCCCTGCCACACCCACAAGCCACGCCCACCAAGCCATGCCCACAGAACAGATAGTAAAAAAAATTGAATCCCACCACTGGGCATGATGGCCCCTTTATGACTTGTGGACTGCTACTCCCACATTTCCTGAGCCAGCTAGCTCAGGAATTCTGGGAGTTGAAGTCCACAAGTCATAAAGAGGCCATCGTTCACACCCTGTTCTAGATCGACATCTCAGTGTGAACCTGTCTGTGAGATAGTGTTGAAATTTGGATGGCTTTCCCTTCACAGTAAATATTTGCAAGTTCTGCCTTCAAAATAGTTCCAATGAAGTCCATCTAGCCTGTTAGTGAGAAACAGCGTGAGGTTAAATGGTACAGAAAACTGGGGAAACGCATATTTAAACCTCCTTTTCAGCATGGAAGCTGATTGGTTCGAATTTGGACCCATCTCACATTTAAACCATCCAATTCAATTTAGACCATCAATTTAAATTCAATTTAAATTCAGTTTAAACCATCCAATCTACATAAATGACCTAGGTGATCATATTAACACCAACTGCGTTCTCTTTGCTGATGATGTAAAGCTATTCAACACCACAGACAATACTACTACCCTTCAAAAAGACCTTGACTATGTATCAGAACGGTCAATCAAATGGCAACTTCAAATCTCAACAAATAAATGCTCTGTCTTACATATTGGCAAAAAAAATCAGAAAATAAAATACAGGCTGAATAGTCAAGACCTTGTTGATGATCCAAGCTCTGTCAAGGACCTTGGAGTACTCATCTCTAATGATCTAAGTGCTAGAGCCCATTGTAACTACATAGCCAGAAAGGCGTTAAGAGTTGTTAACCTAATCTTATGTAGCTTTTTCTCTGGTAATATTACACTAATAACTAGACCATACAAAACATTTGCTAGACCAATACTCGAATACAGCTCATCCGTCTGGAACCCACATTATGTATCCGATATTAACACAGTTGAGAAAGTCCAGAAATATTTCACAAGAAGAGTTCTCCATTCCACTACTCGTTGCAGAATACCTTATGCCACCAGACTTTAAATTCTAGACCTAGAAAATCTAGAACTACACAGCCTTCGGTCTGATCTAAGTATAGTATAAAAAAATCATACACTGCAATGTCCTACCTATCAATGAATACTTCAGCTTCAACCATAACAACACTAGAGCAAACAATAGATAAAAATTCAAGGTTAATCGCACCAAACTTGATTGCAGGAAATACGACTTCAGCAACAGAGTGGTCAATGTCTGGAATAGTCTACCTGACTCTGTGGTTTCTTCCCCAAACCCCAAAATCTTTAACCTTAGACTGTCTACTATTGACCTCACCCCTTTCCTAAGAGGTCTGTAGGGGGCGTGCATAAGCACACCAATGTGTCTACCACCCTGTCCTATTGTTTCTTTTATATATATATATTTATTTTTCTTATATGTATCCATGTATTCATAACTATGTTTTTACTTATACCTTTTATCTTGTAAGCCATTGACAAATAAAAATAAATAAATAAATTATAAATGCAGACGGCTGAGGAGAGTGAGGAATCAGATGAGGGGCAGGACCATTGGGGAGCGGACTGCTGCCCTCAGAGATTGTGGAGGCTGACGGCAGCGATGAGGAGGTTCCCGAGGAACCTGTGCCAAGTGCGCATGCGCGCAGGGTTGCTCGTAGGAAAGAGCCGCTGAAGCAGCACGGGCAACTCGGGAGTAAGGCTGCAAGGAATGCCCCCTCCTTCAAGAAGATAAAAGCCAGCTCTGAAAGGAACACACTTTGCAGAAGGCAAAGACGTTTTGAAACTCCAGCCTCGTGGACATTCCAGTATCCTGAGTTTGTATTTGAACATTTTTGTATTACAAATTATTTCTTGTCTGTTATCTTTTGGCAAGTCTCGCACAATTTGGCAAGGCTTGTGCTTATCACAGCCAATTATTTTGAGAAAGCATTACAAGGTTTTTGTTCCTTTTGGGTTGTGCTTGATTTGTCGGAAAAGGGCGTGGGTCAGAACAGGTGGGGGGTTGGACTAGATGACCTCCAAGGTCCCTTGCAACTCTGATTATCTGTTATTTATTTGTCTGTTATTTATCTGAGGGGCTGCCACAAAAAAGAGGGAGTCAACCTATCCTCCGTAGCACCTGAAGGCAGGACAAGAAGCAATGGGTGGAAACCAGTGATGGGATTCAACTGGTTCAGTGAGCATGCACTTCGCCAAATCATTGCCGGAACTACCGGTTCATCCAAACCAGTCCATACCGGATGAATCCCAACCCTGGTGGAAACTAATCATGGAGAGAAGCAACTTAGAACTAAGGAGAAATTTCCTGATAGTTAGAACAATTAATCAGTGGAACAACTTGCCTCCAGAAGCTGTGAATGCTCCAACACTGGAAGTTTTAAGAAAAGATTGGACGACCATTTGTCTGAAATGCTATAGGGCAGTGATAGCTAACCTTTTCATCGTCGCGTGTCCAAAGCGCACACATGTGTGCCTGCACCCATAATCCAATGCACACGTGACCCTCCCGCCCCCCTGTGCATGCACACGCAACTCCCCATGTGTGCATCGCGCACCTCTGTGCATGTGTGCATGATTCCCTGTCCCCCAGCAGATGTGTGTGCAACTCCTACACCCAACAATCAGCTGGCTGTTGGGGGAGTGTGCGCGCATGTGCGGTAAATCATTCCTGGGCGACGGCTCACTTGCCGGTAGAAATGGCTCTGCGTGCCACTTCTGGCATGTGTGCCATAGGTTCGCCATCACGGGTATAGGGTTTCCTGCCTAAACAAGGGGGTTGGTCTAGAAGACCTCCAAGGTCCCTTCTATTCCAGAACTGTCAGAATTTAGGACTATAATTCACAGGCTCCATTATGATGGTAAGTCAAGCCATTGCCATTTGCCCTTGGCAATATCCCTTTTGAGATTTGACTCATTCCAAGAATAATAACCTTTCCCGTCTTCTTTGATCAGCCACCGTCCAGTCGTCTCTTTTTCCCTCCTCTTCCCTCCAAACAGGATCCCCTTCTGAAGGGCACCAGCGGAAGAAAAGAAGGACCATGACGTTCTTTTATTAAACCCCAAACAGGCTTGGGATCAAACTCAGCAAAAGATTATTCCTTGTCAAGCGATACATGCGGCACGATTGCTGCGTGTGAAATGGAGAAGCCAAACCATCCCCTGCGCTGCCTTCCCAGGCAAGCGAGAAAAAAAAGATTGTGCATTTTAAAAAGTTGGTTTTAGACCACATCTGGGGCTGGTTCGCTTTCGCTCGGTTTTGTTTCTTCCTTTTAGCACTTTCGGATGTTGTACAAGCCCAGCCTCGGGGTCGATCTAATCCAGTGGTCACCAACCAGTGGGCCGGGGACCACTGGTGGTCCATGAGAAAATTTTGGTGGTCCGCAGACAAATGTCCTCCCCCCCAAAGCGATTAATCCAGGCTGCGTGGGAACACAAGGCTTGCGTCGCTTGCATTGCGAACAACACGAGGTAGTGAGAGGAGGGGGGAAAGGGAAACTTGCCCCATATGCCCCACACGCGCCTGGCCTGGCCACTGGGCTGTTTCTCTCCACTTTTTCCTTTCTTCTGCTTTTGGCTGCATGCAAGGAAAGCAGCCAAAAGTCTTTCTTTCTCTTCCCCAAACTCCACCAGAAACGAATCTTTGGGACCCTGCAAGGCCTCCTGCTCCAAGAGGCCGTGCCGGCATGACAAGTCTCATTTCTGAAGGAGTTTGGGGGAGAGAAGGAAAGACTTCTGCGGCTTCTGCTGCTTTCCTTGCATGCAGTCAAAAGTCTCTCTCTCTCTCTCTCTCTCCCCCCCCCCACTGAGAGGATTTTCCTGCAGACTTTGGGGGGGATTTTCCCAGAGTCTCTGGTCCATGGGATTTAAAATTCTGAGTTTGGTGGTCTCTGAGGTCCAAAAGGTTGCTGACCCCTGTTCTAGTCCTCTGCTCAAGCAGGAGGCTAAACTAGGGTTTGAAAAGTTTGTTCCTCAGTACGCTATTAGAAGGCAACTTCTCCCTTGGCAGAATAGGTTGCTTCTTCCAGATGAGTGTATTAGATGAAGGTGACAATTGCGCCTCATTGACACTGGTTTAGGAAATTGTCTTAACTTGGCACCCAAGCAACCAATCAGAATAGAGCCAGAAGGGAGGTCTTCTCTTTTAACCCCTTACTCAAGCAGGAAACGCTATCTCATTTCAGACAAGTGTCTGATTGTCCAGACTCTTCTTAAAAACCTCCAGTGACCCACAACTTCTGAAGGCAACTTCGGTTCCATTGGTTAATGGTCCTCACT